ATAACAATAACAAACTCACTGAATTAGAGAAAAAAGTTGTGATATATTCTAAAAATGGATACTGGCTAAAAGTAGAGGCATGCGCTGAGAGAAACTTATGCGTGCACTATGCACACATAAGTCGGTAAGTTTAAGTATGTTCGTACGTTGAAATTAACAGTTTTCCGCTGTGATGAGTACGATGAAGACCGAGTCAACCGGGAATGCACCATTGTAATGGTTTAATTCCCATTATCTCTATTAACTTTGTCAAAAATACGAATCTTGACGATTCTCTAGTTTGTTTGGCTGTGACTCTCCTAAACTGCGTGGATAGGGCCTCTCATGTTCGTTAGTGCGGTTGTTGCACCGCTGTTCACAACGACATGAAGTATTATTGCCAAGGTCTTAAGACTAATACCCTAAACGTCTATGCGGATCATATATCTGGTAAATTTTTGCAGAATAGTGAAATGTATTTTAGGTGTTATCAGCAAAAGCCCGCGATAACTTAGATACTTGGCCAACTTGGATCACCTCTTAGTCTTTTGTAAGGATATTTCTAGATATTAGACTACAGAATTATTCTAAAACGCATGAAGCTATTTTCAGTACCGACTGTAAAGAAGTTGTAGGGTGAACCGCTTGCAACATTGAATCAATGGCTATAATGGATGTGAGCGCTGTGGCCATACCAACTTTGCAGCTGCACTATGGGTTAAGTGCAGCCTAATTTAAAATGTACAGTTGTCTCCCATCTTGGAATCTAGCAAAGATCTGTATTTCTTTAAAGTAACAGGACATCCAATTTGACTGCGCCTAGAAAAATTCGACTACATGACCGCGACCGACTCAGAATGTTAAATGGCGCTCAAAAAATTGTAAAACCTAGAATCGATGGGATACAAAATGCCGGCGAATGGATTTTCCAGACACCACTATTCCGGTAAGGTGATAAACGGACAGCTAAGATTCCATGTCTGCTGCAAGATGAGCAAGTTTTAAGATTCTGGCCTGAAATATTTGTTAGTATAGCAACAATAAAGCCAGTACCTTCAGTGTGAAGCACGTGCAGTCGATGTGGTATCTCATGAACGATTAACTGAATGTCTAAAATTCGTTTTCAATCCGAAAAGGGAACTTAAGTAGTGTTGTTATGTTAAATATCGTGGCGTATTATTGCCAAGATATTTTGATCGAGTCTGGATGCCGGCTTTCGAACGAATTTTTTATCAACCGTTTGCGTAAACTATGTTTTGCAAAATGGCTACTTAGATAGTATGATTTTTTCCATCGATTTTCGATGCTTCAACATACTCCAATATATCTCATGGATAACATGCACAAAATATTCCTTCATTTAGTTTTTTGCAGCAAACTAGAACCTTTTCAATTTTATCCTCGAAGAAAGGGTCTCTTATGGTTTTGAAGAAAGTTTTAAACTGCAGGATTTTTCATGATTGTAAAACGTCCAATCGTACTGCAATGCATCAGCATATTTATTAATAATGTTTAGGAAGTGAACAAAGTAGTGCACATACATTATAAAATTCTATAAGCCCCATGTCTTCTTCCTAATAACATAAAAAAATATGTGAGATGCTGCTGACAAAGACAAGGGTGACCGAAATGGCCATTTCCGGCTTATTAGCCGTCATCAGCCAGCCATACCCAACCCCGAGTATGGATCACTTGAGACTCGAACCCGGGATCTTTGGTTATGGAGTTCGACATTCTACCATTCAGTCACAGGCCCATTGTCCGGTCCCTGTGCGACTGCCTGCGAGGGCTTTAGTATGAGCCCCAAGACTCAATGGAACGAACACGTCCCGTAAGCTGATCGGTAAACGCCCATCTGTCATAAGAAATATATGATTTTCTTTACACAAAAAGTATACAGTATGTAGTTTGGCAACCCAAAATGCTAGTACTACGCCAAGTCGGATTCAAAATTAGTCGGAAATTGAGGAAGCTTTTTAAAACCGAATGCTACTCCTATCCCATGTATTACTTTAGAAGTAGACGTACTTATATGAGAAATGGGTTTGAGGAAGAATATTTTGTTCATATCTTCTATGAACTATATTTTAGTTTATATGGGTATCAAAAATCAATGAAAATAATTCATGTTATTCAAGCAGTTATTTTTTAACAGATGCATTTTAGGCAAGCGGTTGACAAGGAGCTCTTTGGAAGCCTTTATCCTGACGTGACTGGAATATTTTAATACTATGAGAAATAGCGATTAATGCAACAAACATGGTGAAGTAAACTTTTCGAACTAAAAACACACTTTAGAACTTCAGTCAACATAAGAGAGCAGTCTTTGTATTATGAAAGTGAAGTATTCATCAAAATGGGTATAGAGAACCTAGTTATTCCGGCCAACGTTGACAGCCAATTGTAAAGTAATGCATTTAAAATTCTCTGGTAGCTTGCTTATCAAGTTTCCACCTTTCCTTGAAGAGTGGGTCAATATCGCAAATTTTGGATATAGGCTTTGGTACTTTTTCGCCCTAAGACTTGAAAGGTTCTTACAGTTATGTTTTTTAATCAAGTCATAACAAAGCCATTAGCTTACAAATATAAAAGAACAAGAAATCAATCATAGATTTTAATTCTAGGAAAAATTCATCCGTCAAATTTCTAAACTGCCATTCTAACTATTTTACAGTAACAATGAGTCTTTGCAGGAACCACAGCAACAACCAGCCAGAGGATACACTACTGATGACCACCAAACGCAATGCTGAGTGCCAATGCGTCTTCTTCACTCAATCTGCCTTCATCAAAGCTGCGTCCACGACTTCTGACCACGACGGGAGACTGGAAATCCATACTAACGTAAACGGTGCAGTCCTTGCCAAAGTATTTGGCATCACAGACGCATTCGCGTTCCCGCTGAAGACCAGTGTTCGTTCTAATGAGTCGTTCGAAGCACTTCCCATGGGAACACTCTGGGGTTCCAGATAGACACCGTCGATATCGCGTTTTGCCATCAAGGCGATCACTAAATTAAGGGAAGGAGTTAATACAATATTCGTTTGTCATGCTGTTACTTAAGTTATCTGATTGTCAAATTTATGAAAAATCCAAGCAGCAAAATAAGCCTTAGCTCAATAGTAAAATACAGGGGCTGATTCCCACCTGACTGGTGAAACAGATGATGTATCATGTGTCATCCTACTAGATGATAAACGTTGCAGCTATGTATCTGACAAAGGCGAATTGCCTTATACTCTGTAGAAACAACTCTGGAATTGAATGTCGGCTCAGTTTAAGTTTTAAAATCTGCAAGACACTTAGTCATCTGCCTGTTCTCCTCGCAGGTGTATCTAACCTTCATAAAGAATCTTAAAATGGTCCAATTA